TAAATAAATAATTCCATTTCGAATATTGTCACTTAAATTGGAAAAACTCCCCTCGCGCATTTTTTAACCCTTCGGGGCCGGGCGCGCAAAAAGGAGGTGTGACAGTAACGTTTCTTTTAATGTCATTTATTGCTCATAATTGCCTCATTAAGACAAAGACATTACATCTTCTCCTAGAATCAACTATAAAAGGAGAAGGACTCAACATTTGTAAGGACATGAAATATTATTGAGATTACACTGAAATACAAAACTACTTATTACTTTATTATTCTCAGAAATCTTCTATTATTTTCCTCTCCAGATTATCAGTAACCCGAATTTCTCTTTATTTCTAGTTTTGATCAAAGACTCAGATTTTTGGTTAAACACACACACCTCGACTATTTTATCATATAAGAATAAATCATCTAATATCTTTTGAGTCCGTTTAGATTGAATTTGGGAATATTTCGATGTGAACCGCGGGAGCAATACTAAATTGAGGCAAATTCAGAATACTATATGTGATCTCAAAATAACAGGGTTCAAATTCGGCATGTGTACCTCATGATTTTTATCATACTTTATCGATCACTAAACCACACCCTTGGGGTATATTTTTGTAGTTAAAAAAAAATTAAAAAAAAAAATTGATATTGAAACTTCAACCCACCATTTAGATCCTTTACCTACCGTTCATAATTGCCTTATCCAACTATCGACCCTTCGAGATTCACTCCATTATCTTCTCTGCTTCATTACATAAGTCAATGCTTCCTCTTGGATTAATTCAAAATTTATGAGAAAATTGTTGTATGATTGTAATGTGATATAATGTATGTATTATTTTATTGTCGTCGATAAAATTGGGACCATTTTAGTTAAATCCAGTGTATGTGGTTGTGGGCTCGATTATTCTAAACTGACTGGTCAATATTTGGAAGAATTTATGGTTCTAATAAAATGTTATTGTTAAAAGGTATGCTTTATGGTTTATTTGAAAGTGTTACATTCATATTGCATCAAATAAATATTCAGAAATTTTGAACACAACTTAATTATCTTCAATGGTAAGATTTTAAAATAAAATAATTAATAACATCTTAATTAATGTAGTACTTATTTTGAATCAACAATGGTTTTGAAGCGAAGGGAGTAAATTAAGAATATATACTGTTCAATTATGATTAAGTGATGTAAATTTATATATGCAACACATACTTTGTATTGTAATTTAATTTCCTCATAATCATCAAATTCAACAAGGAAGTTGGCAGCAGTTGAAGTATTTAAGGCAGCGTAGCCTTGCTGTGTTGCCACATGTTTCTACAGAGAACATTAATGAGGATAATAATCACTATTTAAAGGAACAAGTCATTCTGCTGCAGTATTTGACAAGTGCAAGCTAAGGACCCTTTCACTTTTCTCCAGTTGCTTCTTCTTTCGCCATCCAAATCTGTACCTAAACAAACAAGAGTTGAAAGGAATCCTATTCGAATTATATTGTCGCCAAAAGCTTCTTCTTTTTTTGAGAATATTTATTTATATATAAGAAACTATATATAAAGCTGTACGTAGTTTTCATATACCATCAATAATTATCTACCTCCCTCTCTCTTTCTTCTTTTCTCTTTTTTACTTTTCTAATTAGTGAGTTTATCAGACATGAATGAGCCACCAAAATATGGTTATCCATACCCCTCTCAAGCTCAAGGTAATAACATATCTATATGTTCTTCTTTTATATTCATTTTATAAAAAGACAGTCTAGTATACTAAGTTTTCCTTCTACAATGCAAGAAGTGGGGAAGAAACGGATCACAATGATTTTTATGTATGTATGTATGTATGTATGAGTCTTATTATATATTTCTGCAAAAAAATATTTTCGCAACTTGAACTCGTTATCTTGTATTTATGCAAAAAGCTATTTTTGTGACTTACACTCGCGACATCCTTGTTACAGGATAATAAATTTTACCCCCTTCTTTTCATTTATCGTTATAATTGCTAAAAAACAATAGTTGAGCTGAGTATATTTCATTTTTTGTGTTTTTTAAAATATAGGTTATTATCAGGGGCCTCCTCCTCCAGTGATGGCGCCACCAACATATGCAGCTGCTCCTCCACCTCAGAAAAACAGAGGTTTTCTTGAAGGATGGTAAGCTTTAATTTGCTCCTTCTTCCACCATCCTAAATTTTATTGATATATGAAGAGATTATATTCTTTTGAAATTTTTAACAATACTAGTGTGATAAGGAAAATCAAGAAAAATGAAGTTTTTACCCTTTCTTCTTCAATGAATTTAGCTTATACACAAGGAGTAGATATATAATTTTTTACACTATCAGCCCATTTGAATATAACTTGCCTTCTTATTAAGCTTATTTATTTCAATTTATATGGACAATTTATCTCTATTTACTACTCATCTTTTAAGTAACAAAATAGTGTGAAAATCTTGCGATGTTGTAAAGTTAAACTCTTTTTCTAAATTTTCATTTTCGTGTGTTTACAATTTTAATTCTTTCCTTTTTGGCTAAAAGATGTTTTTAAGAAAATTCTTTTCTTTTTTAATTTTGTGAATTATTGCAGCCTAGCAGCTCTGTGTTGTTGTTGCCTGATAGATGAGTGTTGCTGTGATCCCTCTATCATCTGTATGTGGTAGTAATTAAGGTGTTGCTTCTGCTTTTTACCAAAATAATAAGAATTGTAATGTAAATAAGTTCTTTAGGAACAGCAGTATTGGGAGTTTATCTTGTAATTATCTTCTTTTAATTATTGAACTCTTTTTTGTTCTCTGAGAGAGTTACCATTTCATTAATTGTATTATCCATTTCTGCTCCTGCCTTGAATACCTGGATTTAACCCACCGCCCTCGTGCTATTTGTATATCATGTCCCTTACAATTTACGTGTAAAAGACAAATCTCTTGTGTGTAAAAGTAAATTTCCCATATGTAAAAAAAAATATAGGGTCTTAAAACTAAAAACAAGTTTGCAAAGAGCCACAATCCCCACTTCTTTTTATTCCCTTCTTTTTCACGGTTAAATGGATTCACCGATTAAGACCTAAATCAATTCTTCTAGAGTTTTCAAGATATTTTCTTATGAAGTTTTGTTACAGCATTTATAACCGCTTCTGAGGTTATTTTCAACAATGTTAACAATCAGCAACCGAATCTTTACAATCCATCAGTATGGCTAATGTTGAGAAAAGCTTGGAAAGCTGCAAAGGACATATAGCCTAACAAAACCAATCACACGAAGCAAAGCATTAATTATAGAAGAATTAACTGAAATAGCCGCTCACCCAAACGCTTAAATTAAGAATAGCCGATGAGGATATAATATATGCATACTTTATGTATAATATGTGGATAATTATGTATAATTAATGTATAATTTATATATATGATTAGAAAAAGTAAATAATAAATATGACCAGTTATTTGTGCAAAGATTCCTTAATCATATGAGCATTGCGTGCCACACAATTATCCTTATCTTTATTAGGCATTTCCACATTGTCCAATCGAGTTGTTGTTTAACATGTCAATCAAGGAATAATGCAAAAAAGAAGGAATTAGTGGATCTTCAAAAGTTTTTATTCTCTTGCTTAGTTAAATGAATTGAAGAAAATAAATTTATCTAGTACCTTTATTCTCCTTTCTAATTCTTCTCCATTTTTCGATGTTCTCTTTCATTTTCCGGATAACTTATACGTATATATCTTTTATCAGCATATGTATTGAGTAACGCCACCCAACAAATTTTAGACAACTAAATAATGTATTGGTGGGTGGAAAAATTTATATGACACGTAGGTTAATGATATGGTGACAGATGTCATTTGAATAAGATCAATAAAAAAGAATGATGAGGTGCAGGAAAAATACCTGTGGGTATTGTTTACAAAAGATATCGTACCTTCCAATTGAGAAATAAGAGATAGCCACGAAATGCATGAAGATTGTAAAAGAGGAAGATTCATCGACGGCTGCGAATATAGAAAAGGAATTAGCATGATCGCTGATTATACGCTATTATTTATTATTATCATAACCATTACGAATAATTTGAGTAATGAGCAATTAATGTAGTTAATGTTAGTAACGGGCAGGAATTAAGCAAGGAAAGCAGTTACATAATGTATCCTTATATAAACACCCTTTGCCATACTTTGTACGATCATCAAGGAATTCACAAATATATGCAATTAGTCTTCTACTCTTATTTATTTGCTTGATTGAAGATTCTTACTCTCAATTCTTGGAAGAGGCTGTAATAATCAATAAGATTCTTTTTTTTTTCTTCTATTTTTTCTTATAAGAGTACTCATTGAATATTTAGTTTCTATTATTTCTTATTCTCTTATATTTAGAAAAGTGAAGTAAAATTAGTTATTAGAAATCCTATTAATTATTTTAATATTTGCTTTGACCATAAAAGTTATTTTTCGGTTAAACAAATAAATATTTTTTTATATAACTTAACCCAGAGGGGAGATTCTAAAGTTATGCTTATAACATGCTTCTGCCGCGTATAATCGTTTTTGTTAGCAAAAGAGTGGATAACGACCCAGGTGTCAATTCGACAGAACTTCTAAAAAAATATTAGCTAAGTACAACGTTTTTCTGCTGTTTTTTCTTGTTCAGAATTATATTGCTTGTCCCCAAAATTCAGTTTAACACAAAGAAATTGAGCACAAGCTTTGTCTCCAAATGACAAAGCCAGCTTATCCTTACCCTGCTGCAGCTGAATTCTTCTTACTAACTGACTACTTGCACTTCTCTCGCCAGTATATATTAGGTTGGTAGAAAAGGGCTTTCAAAAATATATACACTCACTAATTTAAGTACATAATATATATGTATATATTTGACGGTTATTTTTCTTTTATTTGGGAGGACGGCTTTTTAAGTTAATTTCTCAAAAACAAATATCTCAAAAAGTAAGTGTTTGTGTATCAACAAGGGCGGATTTATTATAGGGGATTATGGGGTATGTGAAGCTATGATCTCTTCGTAAAATTAGATATTTATGTACATATTTTTTGAAATTAGTATAATATTAACTTTTGGCAGTACTCATGCTCAAGAAGACTGAATGGTGCACTTGGTTGAAGATTGAGTTATTTACCAAGAGTAATAAAGATCAATTCTCACTTAATATATTTTTCTCTTTTTTTAGTAGTACACTCATGTACTAAAAATTTTAGATCCGCCTCTGTGTATCAACGATCTAAATCTGATCCTTTTTTCTTTAATTTTTTTTGAATCTAAGGTTGATCCAATAATAACCATAATGTAATAGATTCAGCCCCTAACCTATTAAAATGAATTAGAACTTTTAATTTAACCACAGAGAGCAAAAGTTGGTGCAGTAAATATAGTAATGTGGATTAACGTCGTAACAGGTTATTACAAGGGACCTCCAGTGATGGCTCCTCCAATGTATGTTGCTGCTCCTCCTCCGAGGAAGGAACCTGGTTTTCTCGAGGCTTGGTAATATAACTATATTCTTCTCCTCTTCTTTGGTCGTGATGACTTAATTTCTTCCTCCATCGACTATTTTTATTTTAAGCTGTGGGTGGGGGTGGACGGGTACAGTGGCGGAGGCAGGATATTTGCGAAGGGGGTTCAAAAATTTTAAAAGTCAAATACACAAT